CCGCTAGGGTCCGCGCGCCCGACCCGCATGTTGGGGTCCGCCCGTCCGACTCGCCTGTGAAGCCCCCCCCCCTTCACTTGCTTGCAGGCCCGCGCGCTCGCTTCCGTTTCCCGCCCGCCCGACCCGCCCATACGAGGGTCCGTCCGCCCGACTCGTCCGTTTGGGTCCGCCCGCACGGCCCGCCCTTTTGGGTCCGCTTGCCAATCCTCCTCTCCCTCCATCCTATCCTCCTCTCACTCCGCGGGGAAGGGAGGAGGAGGAGCAGAAGGAGGAGGAGGAGGAGCACAGTCAACCCGCATAGTTCCCAGTTCTCCTACAGTCAACCCGGCATAGTAAGGATGGGCAACCTTCCCAGGGATACCCTTGCATCCTTGCCCCGTCGGCCCATTTTTTAGCGACTTTCGCTGGCCAATCTCGATCGAGAAACGTTAACATGGCCCTCCAGGGCCCTTGCATCCCTTCCGCGCATCCTTATGATACGGGGTTGACTGTATCTCTCAGAGCGTGAATTGCCTACCCCGCTTTCGCTTCCAGGCAAAACCAAGCCATACCACGCGCCTCCTCGTCAAGCGGCCTGACCAGTACAGGCTGCAATTTGGCATCGTTTGGTATTTCTTGGAAGCGAGGGTGGTCAAAAGCGAGGTAGGTTTGTTTTCCCCTAAATCTCTCTCTTGCTCTCCTCCCCTCTCGTTTCCTCCTCCCTTCTCCGCTGTCGCCCGTTTTCCTTTTTCCCTCCTCTTCCCCTCTGCAGGGCCGCGCCAACCTCCCGTGGGTGGCATGCAGTGAAGATGGGTACGATCGAAGACGAAAGGGGGGGGGCATCGAGGGTTTAGGTTTTGCATGTTGAGTGACACGCGAGGAACGCATCGGGAGCCGTCTTACACATATTAGTGCCGAGTTCGTTGTTGCTAATCCTGATGATGCAGAAGACGAGTATGCTTATGATGGTGACAATGATGGTGATGATGATGATGATGATGATGCTGATGATGATGATGATGATGATGAGGATGATGATGATGATGATGATGATGATGATGGTGGTGGTGGTGGTGGTGATGATGAGGATGATGGTGATGCTGATGATGCTGATTATGCTGATGATGACGATGCTGATGATGATGATGATGATGATGATGATGATGATGATGATGATGATGATGAGGATGATGATGATGATGATGATGATGATGATGATGATGATGATGATGACGATGATGATGATGATGGCGGTGATGATGATGGTGGTGGTGATGATGAATGATGCTGATGATGGGGATGATCAGGAGAAGGAAGGAGCTGGGCCGCTGCGAAAGCAACCGCGGCGTCGTCGGGAGCGGCCAGGGACGGCAACAGCAAGCAGGCGGTCCAGACGCCAGAGCCGCAGCCTCTGGTATCGGGTCCCAGCTTCTTCAACTTCAAGGACGTGGGGGCAGGGTAAGGACGAGTTGGAGGGATGATGCATGTGAGGATGAACCGTGATGGTGAGGCTGTGGTGGCGTTGACCACGACGATGGCAATGCACAGCATGGCGATGCGCATGTCGTCTATGCCGATGATGTTGATAACTATACTGATGACGTCGCGACGACGACGAGGGTGACGATGTCGACGACTCGTAGGTTGCTGCGGCTGACTTGTTGGGCTGACTTGTATGTTGCTGCGGCTGCCGATGACTTGTATGTTGCTATGTTGTTGTGTTGATGGTCAATCAGCGACGTGAGCTGATTCTCACCCCCCCCTCTGTGATCCCCCCCATTTCGCCCCGCCCGAGAACACGAGCAAAACGTCCGCGGACGACCTGTGTGCACCGTGCCGCGCTGGCGCCCCTCGTGGAGCCGACGGTTCCTCGGCCCAGGAGTGGCGCGGTGCCTCGTTGTCCGGCCCCCCGAGCCGACCGAGCCATGCACCGTATACCGCGTGGGAGCGGGGTCGGAGTTCTCGCAAAAAAGCGCCCCCAGGCGCGCTGAAGACCATCTAGTGGTGAGGGCCCGCGAGGACCGACGACGGCTGGGGTGCGAGGGAGAGGCGCCGTGAAACGTCGATCTTGAAAGCGAACAGAAAGCGCCCCCAGGCGTTCTGGAGACCATCTAGTGGCGAGGGCCCCCGAAGACCGACGACGGCTGGAGTGCGAGGGAGATGCGCCGATCGTCCGCGCTGACGCCGACGCCGACGCCGCCATCACCGCCAGCGCCGGCGACGACGTCGGGCGGGCGGCGCCGCCGAGCAGTGAGGACTCCGAGGGGGAGCCCGCGGCCGAGCCCGTGGCCACGCCGGCGCCCACGGCGAGCTTGCAGCCTCGCCAGGGCGCGCCGTCGCCGCCGTCGTCGGCGTTGCTGCGTGGTCGTTGGTCGTCGTCGTCGTCGTTGTCGTCGTCGCCGTCGTCTTCGCCCTCGTTCTCGTCCTCGTCGGCGTCGTCGTCGTCGGCGTCGTAGTCGTCGTTGTTGTCGCCAGCGTCGTCGTCGTCGTCGTCGAGCTTCGACGTCGATCCTCGAGCTTCGACTCAGGGGAAACAAGCGTACCCCAGAGCAGACGTACCTTGGAGAGGGGGCCTCAGAGCGTACCTCGGGAGCCCACCGTGGCTGGAACCGCGGCCGCTGCGACACCTGACTTGGGGCACGGCTTCCTGGGGGTACATTTTGGGGTCTTCCCAATCGACGTCCGAGGATCTACGATCGGGACCTGTTGCTCGTCGTCTCGCGCCGCCAGTTCCGGGGCCCACCACGCGCCTCGGCGCGGCACGCGAGCTGCTTCCCAGGTCCCGAGCGTCAGCGCCCCCAGCCTTCCCCAGCCTCCCACCCCGCGGGGCAGCGCGACTCGCTGCCCGCTTGCACTGCACGAGGTGCTGGCGGGGCTGCCGCCTCGACGCGCTGAGCTAAAGTTCCCCACCGCAGGTGTTTTGATCGTGTTTGGCTCCTTGGCCTCATGGGGGCCCTCCGGGGCCTCCCGGGGGCCTGTGGGGACATCTGGCGCCGGTGTCGTTCGGGTGGTGGTCGTCGCCACCGTCGTTGCGCTCGTGGGGGTGGTGGTGGTGGTCGTCGTCATCGTCGTGGTGGTCGTCGCCACCGTCGTGACTTTCGTGGTGGTCGCCGTTGTCGTCGTCGTCGTCGCCGCCGCCGCCGTACTCGTCATCGTCGGAGTCATCGTCGTCGTAGCTATTGCCGTGGCCGTGGCCGTCGTCGACGACTAGGCGTTGGGCCTCCTCCCCCTCCAGGCCTCCCCCCCCCCCTCCTTCTCCTCCTCCCCCTCCTCCCTCCGAGATGAGGAAGGCGCCGTTCTGGATCGAGGGCCTCGGGAGCGGTCGCCAGGCAACCGCGCGCCCCCCAGAACAGCCCCCCACACGTGCCGACTGCGCCGCGCCATAGGCAGGACGGCGACGCGCGGTCAAGGCCGCACATCAGAGGCCGCGTGGCACAGGCGCCAACGTGCCGAGATGACCAGAGCCCACACGTCGCTCAGAGTCGTGGCCGCAGCCCGCCTCATCGAGCAGCCCCTCAGCTACAGCGACGTCCTCGTGGTGGGCGTTCCCCTCTCCCGCCATGGCAGCAGACGGTGCGGACTAACCAGTACAGAAAGCTCTGAGAGTGCGCGGCCTGTTCGCGCGCGAACGATTGGTCTCCCACGTCATGCTCCAAGGGCGCCGACGCCAGAGACTCCCAGCTGACGCAGTATCCGCAGTATCCGCATGATGGAGGACGCCGCCAACCTGGTCGCCTGCGTAGTAAGCCGCCGAGGAGGTGCCCAAGCCGCCAGCCCTCTACCGCAAGGCATGCTGAAACTGAGCTGTTTCCTAGTCTGTCATTTTCTCCAGAAGCCGCACGAGCACACCGAAGGCGGAAGGAACCTCCCAAGGAGGCGCGTGCATCAGGAGAGTGCCGTGAGGCCGTGAGTTTCACCCTCGAACACCTCGAGCCACCGAGCATATGTTTCCAGGACCTCGAGCCAGAGGACGCGCGTGTCGAGAGCTCCAAGGCAGAGTTCAGCGAGGTCCTGTCATGTACTCCAGAGCCCCTTTTCGGCGAGGCTCCCCGTCGAATGCGTGCAATGCCCGCCCCTGGTCTAGTCGCCCCTATCGTCGCCTCCGAGATGGGCAAGCGGGCAAAAGGGATGAGAAGGAGTACGAGGAGGAGGAGGAGGAGGAGGAGGAGGAGGAGGAGGAGGAGGAGGAGAGGGGAGGATAGGAGGAGGAGGAGGAGGAGGAGGAGGGGAGGAGGAGGAAGGGGAGGAGGAGGAGGAGGAGGAGGAGGAGGAGGAGGAGGAGGAGGAGGAGGAGGAGGAGAATAGATAATAATAATAAACAATAATAATACGAGAAGAAGCAGAAGGAGGAGGGGAGGAGGAGGAGGAGGGAGGAGGAGGAGGAGGAGGAGGAGGAGGAGGAGGGGGCAGGGGGAGGAGAAGGAGGATGAGAGGAGGAAGCGGAAGAGAGGAGGTGGAGGAGGAGGAGGAGGAGGAGGAGGGAAGGAGAAGAAGGGGAGGAGGAGGAGGAGGAGGAGGAGGAGACGGAGGAGGAGGGGGAGGAGGAGGAGGAGGAGGAGGAGGAGGAGAGGAGGAGGAGGAGGGGAGGAGGAGGAGGAGGGGAGGAGGAGGAGGGAGGAGGACGAGAGGAGGGATGACGGAGGAGAAGAACAGGAGAGCTGGGATGACGAAGGGCGGAGGGATGACGGAGGAGGGAGTTGGGAGGAGAAGAACAGGTAAGGGAGACGCCGACGACGCCGACCACGCCGATGACGCCGACGACGCCGGCGGCGACGACGACGACGATGACGACGACGACGACGACTACGACGACGACGATGACGACGACGACGACGACGACGACGACGACGACGACGACGACGACGACGACGACGACGACCTGCCGGCGGGTCGCCCTGCGGGGGGCGCGCGTGGCCTGGGGGTTGCGCGTGGCCGCCAGGCAGTGGCCAGGCGCGGGAGGCGATGGCCAAGCAGGCGCCGCGGGGCGCCAAGCAGGCCGTGGTCCAGCATTCCGTGGCGAGGAGGGCTGCCGCCGCCGCCGTCGTCATCGTCGCCGCCTTCGTCGTCGTCGTCATCGTCGTTGTCGGCACCGTCGTCATCGTCGTCGTCGTCGCCGTCGTCGACGTCGCCGCCATCGTCGTTGTCGTCATTGTCGTCGTCGCCGCTTTCGTCGCTGTCGCCGTCGTCGGACGGTGTCTGGAAGTTTGTGGACGTGTCTTGCTCCTCCGTGGGCCTCGCGGGGCCTTTCCGGGGCCCCTCGCGCAGCGCGTGCCGGGGAAAAGGGCAGCCAGCTCGCCCACGTCGCCGTCGCTGCCGTCGGGCGTTTTCGGCACGCTTTGGAGCTGTGCTCTGGTTTGCTTCGCGGACACGTGCGGGCAACCCTCGACAAGCACGGCGCGGAACCCAGAGGAGTGGGCTAAGCTCGAAGGTCGCCTCACCACAATGATCACAGAGCTTTCCTTCGCTACTTTTTTCTGCCGTCCAGACGAGCATCTGATTCAGAAACCTCCTCCTGAAAAGCTGGGCTGGCGTTCCTGAACCAATTCGCCAGAAAGCTGGCCCAGTTTCTTGAGCATCTTCGCCCCTCCAGCGTTCATAACATAAACTTGCCCAGGTTTGTGTTCAGAAACGTCGGGAAGCTGGCCAAGTGCTTTTAACTTTTCCAGACAATGCTTGGACGAAGGGGTTCTTATCACCTCTGGTTTAAGGAGCTGGGCCGTGTGGGCGGTCTGGCGGAGTCTGGCGGTTATGTTCCCGCCGTTGCCGCCCTGTCGCCGCATTGTCTCCCGTCGCCGCACTTCGTCTGGGCCGTGTGGGCGGTCTGGCGGCTATGTTCCCGCAGTCGCCGCCCCGTCGCCGCCTCGTCGCCGCCCGTCGTCTGGGCCGTGTGGGCGGTCTGGCGGCTACGTTCCCGTCGTCGCCGCCTCGTCGCCGCCCGTCGTCTGGACCTGTGGGCAGTCTGGCGGCGAAGTTCCCGCCGTCGCCGCCCCATCGCCGCCTCTTCGCCGCCTGTCGTCTGGGCCGGTGTGCCTGTCTGTTGACCATGTTGCCGCCGACGCCGACTCGTCGTCGCATAGATTGCGCACACCTAGTTTGCACCACGCAGATTGCACTACATCGATTGCATAACATATATCGGAAAGCATCTATTGCAAAGCATACGTTGCACAGCCCATATAGCACCACATTTTGCATGACACATATTCCACAACATAGGTTGCAAACGTATATTGCGCAACAGTTGTTGCACCACGTTGGTTGCACGGTATTTATTGCACAGCACATATAGCACCCTATATATTGCACCATCTACATTGCACATGGTAGGTTGCACCACGTACATTGTTCAACGTCGATAGCATGGCATACCTTGCGGACCACAGATGGCACAACATAGCTTGTGCGCAACGTAGAGGGCACCACACAGATTGCACCACAGAGGTTGGACAGCATGTATTGCGCAACAGAGATGGCTGGAAGCACGCTGGTTGGGGCCCGTCTGACCGAGCAGGGCGCGGGTCTGAGCCTGAGGGGGAGGAGGCGGAGGAGGAGGAGGAGGAGGAGGAGGAGGAGGACGAGGACGAGGACGAGGAGGAGGACGACCTCAGGAGGCCTCTGGAGGCCTCGTCGCTGCAGTCGTCGCCGCCGTCTCCAGCCGACCTCGTCGTCGCCGCCGCCTCGCATTCACTGTGGTCGCCGTGGTCGTGGTCGTGGCCGTGGCCGTGGTCGTGGTAGTTGTGGTGGTGGTGGTCGTGGTGGTCGTCGTTGTCGTTTCCGTCGTCGTCGTCGTCGTCGTCGTCGTCGTCGTCGTCGTCGTCGTCGTCGTCCGCCTGCTCCTTCTCCCCGCTCTGGCGGAGGATCAGGGGCAACGTCAGGGGGGATTGGCTCCGGGGGGGATGCATCGACAACCTCAGTGGGCCCAACAGCCATCCCGCCCAGGACCGTGCACATTGCCCATCGGGGTCCTATCGCCGATCTGTCGGCGATGTACCGCCGATTCCAAGTCAACGCTCCCTTCCCCTGCGCCGGCCGTCCCCCCCTGCATCGTTGCCCCTTAGAGGACGCTGGCGGCGACGGCGACGACGACGGCACGTCGTCGTTGCCGTGCTCTTCGCCCCCTCCCCCCCCCCTGAACGAGTTTGCGGGGGTGTCAAGGCAAATCAGCTCTTGCAAACGCTCGCTGAGGTGATCCGCCGTTGCGCGCGGAGGACGTGAGTCAAAGCTCCCTCCTCGGAGCCTCCTGAGGCATGGAGGCTACGGCACGACAGTACTGATCAGCCGCCACCGCGCCCATCCAGCCATTCCAAACAACTAATCCTTGTAGACTGGGTTCGAGCAGCTTCATCAGGGACGGAATAGCGTTCTTCCAGCCCACCCCAATAGCACGCCGCCTGCGGCGCCCCGTGGCAGCAGCGAGCCATGCATTCAGAGTGTCAGTCGAATTTGTCTCGCGTGCCGCTCGTCAGCCTGGTCGTGTCGAAGATTCGTCCGGGTGCCTTCCCTGTGGGTAGTTGTTCATCCTGGGCCCGTTTTTGACGGCCCTGGGGCCCGAAAACGGCTCCCGCAGGCCAACAACGACGAAGAGCCGAAGGCTACGAAAATTGACAAGCATCGACGACTGGAAGTGGCATGATCTTTCCAGGGCGGTGTGGGCTCGCGCAGCCCGCGCCAGGCCCGGGGGGGAAGGACGCGGCGCGGGGCGGCGGCGCAGAGCATTGGGACGCGAGCCGCGGCGCGCTCGAGGGCCGGGGCCTCTCTCTCTCTCTCTCTCTCTCTCTCTCTCTCTAGTCTCGGCTCGAGAGTGCTCTGCACTCAGACCGCAGCTACGACGCGAAGCGCCCCGCCTCGGAGTCAGACTCCCAGGCCTCGCGAGACCGGAGGGGTCCCAGCAGGACCCTACTGATTCGCGTCACCTCTCCGCACCAGAGTGCCCGCAGCAATGGCCCCCAAGAAGCCGGAGCGCCGTCACTCTTCAAAGCAGCCTCCGAGCTCCCGTCCCACGCGCCCTGCTGCTGAAGGGTCCCTCCTTCAACGCAAGCAGGACTGCATCGCAGCGTTCAGGCAAGCGGGGTCTGACCGCCCCACGGCCGCCTATAACGGGCTAGCCGAACTGAACGCGGACGAGCTCCAGGCAAAGTACGACATGCACAAGTCCAACACGAAGAAGCTTGGCAGCGCCCTTATCCGCATGTGCGCCGCCAACCAGATCAGCTACACGCTCGACCACTACCAGCGCAGCAAGCCTAAGCGCACTGGCGGTGACACATCGCACCCACCATCGGGCTCCGCACGTCTTCAGGCTGCGGACACCCAATTCATCGCCTTGGACCCTGCCTTTTGGAAGGTCCCTGTTCTTGCCGAACCCACCTCGCCTGACGACGGCAAGACGTACAAGCCCAGCATCAGCCTCCACGACTTCGAGAGTGGCGAACGGCTGCTGCAACACCACCTCGGGCAGGGCAAGCGAGCCACGGGCCAGCTCGCGATTGCTGTCATGGGCCCGAAAAACGACAACTACGTCGGTACCGAGCTCGCCGTCCCCGTCCTGAAGCGCCACCCCAAGGCGCCCAAAGTGGTCCACACGCACGTCCCCGTGATCGTGTACCAGCTGGGCACCAAGGAGGTCGCCTGCACGGAAAAGGTAGCCGTCGCCACCATCGACCCCGCCGACCACGTCTGCTGGATTCGGGCGACCATACACGAGACCGAGGCCATTGCCGCAGTCCCCTCCATGCACCAGGCCTTCGAGGACCAGTTCTCGGGAGGTGCCCCCGTGAACGGTGGTCCACGCGCCAAGGGCCCTTTTCGAGGCGACTCCGCTCCACAGGACAAGGCGCGCCAAAAGCACAAGGGAGTCCAAGAAAGACGCTCGCCGCCAGGAGCTCGATGGCCAGCTCCAGGACACCTTCAAGGCCCTCTTCCACGGCAACTTTAAAGCCGTCACCATCCTCGAACCCTGCAAAAGCCTAGGCAGGTTTGGATCGGGCGTCGGAAAGAGGTCCCTGGCTGCCACCTTCGGCGTCAGTCTCCAAGCGGTCGACAAGGTCCTGGCGGGATCAGGGCAACTCGGTGCCACCTACGACCTCAGCAACGTAGGTGCAGACGAGCCCACCGCCGACAAGTATCAGACCGTGTGGTTCCCTGAGGACCAGCCCATCACGATGGCAGACGCGTTCCAGAAGTCGGTGGAGCTCAAGGCCCTGGGAGTCGTCAGGCACGGCAAGTCAGGCCTGCTGGGGATCCGTGTTCCGCGGGGGTCTGACGTCGCCAAGGCCGCTGCTGTCAGCATCCGCGGCTGCGAGGCCACCCTCGCCAAGACGCGCTACCGCATCACTGGCATTGCGGCACGCCACGCCACGCTGACCCAGCTCGCCAAGACTCTCACGGGCCCGTCCGTCAAATGGGGCTGTGAGGTCTACCACGCCGCCTGGGGCCCAGCCACTGCGGCCCAGTTTGCCCTAGTGCGCGCCCATCGGCCCCCACTCACCTATACGGTGCAGGTCGCGGGGTGCTCCATCCCGTGGAGCATCGCCGAGGCCCCGCTGGCTGAGGTGGCGCCGAAGCGGGGCAACGTTGCCATCGTCGCGCCTGCCACCATCACAGAGCCTGCGACGCCGCCAGCCGGTGGTGGTGGCTTCAGCCCCGCCACCGACACACTCCTCACCAAAGCGGCCCAGAGCCCCTACCTCCACGACCTCATGACTGCCACGCCCAAAGGCAAGGGCGTCGCACCGCTCCTGACCCCCAAGGAGGAGCCTTTAGCCAAGCGCCACCGCTCCTCCAGCGGGAAACGTGACGCCACGCCGCCCGCAAGGCCACCCCGCGCCCCAGGCCGCAGCTCTTCTGCGCCCCCTCACGGCACGGACGGAGCCGCTGAACCGACGGCCGCCCCAGGACCAGGTGGCCACGACCCCTGGCTTGGCACGGCGGCGGCGGAAGGAGGGGGCCACACCGAAGGCGCCGCTGCCACAGCCGCCGAAGTACCAGGTGACGTCGTTGACGTCGAGATCCTCTCATCAGG